TTCAATGGCGTCCCATTTCCCTTAGAGTGTAAGCCAGAGTCCCTCAGCGGCCTTCAACCGTCTACACAATCTGACCTCCCACGCATCCTTCTTGCTTCCTTTCTTCTACTCTTCCCCTTGCTCACATCGCTCACCCGATTCTAGCTCTACTGGCATCTTTACTGTTTCTGGAATATGTCAGAGGCGCTTCTGCCGTAGGCTTTTGCACTGGCTGTTCCCTCTGCCCGGAACACTCTCGCCTACAAGATCCACATAACAAACTCCCTTACCCCGTGCCCCCCATCTTTTGTGGTTGCCATCTTCTCAAAGAGTCCTTCTCTGTCCACTCCACTGAAAGTTAAAAGCACCTTACCTTTTCCCTTTATTCTGTTCTTTTCCCTCCAGTTTTTTCTACAGCCCTTACCACCTTTTAACACATCACGTCATTTGCTTTTTTATTGTCTATCCCCTTCTGCTAGAATCTAAAAACTAAGAGGGAAGAAATAATTGTCTCATGTAGTGAAGAAGCACAATTAACTAGAATAGTCCCTGAGAAGTGGAGGCGCTTACTAAACACGTACTGAAATGATCTTGTGGTTCATGAGTTCGAGTCCCACATGGGGCTCTGTGCTGACAGCTCAGAGCCTGGAGCCTGCTTCAGACTGTGTCTCCCTCTTTCTCTGCCCCTCCCCTGCTCATGGTCTGCATGTCTCTGTCTCTCTCTCTCTCTCAAAAATAAACATTAAAAAAAATTTTTTTTAAATACGTACTGAATGAATGAGTGATTACAATTCAGAAATGGTGGCTGCCAGCACTAAGTTAATGTTATGGGTTGAATTGTGGCCGCCCCAAAAAAATATGTTGACATCTTAACCCCCAGTATCTCACAATGTGATCTTATTTGGAATTAGGGTGTTTACAGAGGTCATCAAGTTAAAACGAGGTCATTAGGGTAGGTCGTAACCCGGTATGACCAATGGCCTTATAAAAGGGGGAAATTTGGACACAGAGACTCACACAGGGAGAACACCATGTGGTGATGAAGGCAGATGTTAGGGTGTCACATGTACAAGCCAAGAAATGCCAAAGTTTTCCAGCAAACCACCAGAAGCTAGGGAAGATTCTCCCTCACAGACCTCCCTCAGAAGGAAACGACCCTGCCTGCACCTCACTTCAGACTTCCAGCTTCCAGATTGTGAGACAAAAAATTTGTTTTAACATTTTAAGATTTTTTTTTAAGTTTATTTAGTTATTTTAAGAGACAGAGAGAGAGAGCATGGGAGGGGCAGATAGAGAGAGAGAGGGAGAAAGAGAATCCCAAGCAGGCTCAGCACTGTCAGTGCAGAGCCCGCTGCGGGGCTCGATCTCACGAACTGTGAGATCATGACTTGAGCCAAAATCTAGAGTTGGCTGCTTAACCGACTGAGCCAGCCAGGCGCCCCTAAAATTTTAAGATTTTAAGTTTAGAGCACTTGGTCTTGTCAACCCTATGAAACTAATATAGTTGCTAGATAGGTGGGTAGGTGTGAGACTTGGAAACTTAATTAGGTCCGGAGGTGCCTATAAACTAAAGCAACATATCAGCAAGGTATAAGAATTATACAAGATTGGGGCGCCTGGGTGGCTCAGTCGGCTAAGCGGCCGACTTTGTCTCAGGTCATGATCTCGTGGTCCGCGACTGAGTCTGCTACTCAGGTTTCCTGCTGACAGCTCAGAGCCTGGAGCCTGTTTCTAGATTCTGTGTCTCCCTCCTCTGACCCCTCCCCCCCATTCATGCTCTGTCTCTCTCTGTCTCAAAAAAAAATTAACGTCAAAAAAAAAAAAAAAAAAAAAAGAATTATAGCTGTATACATCAGGTCCCAAGGGTTAACTGTCTGTCCAAGGTCTCAGGGGGACAGTTGCTGAACTCTGCCTTACTTCTCTCTTTTCTCCATCCTACCCACACCCCTCACCATCATCACCACACAAAAACATCTGCTCTAAATCGTAGGGGAATTCCTAGATTATATTTCCTGTGAAGGTGTCAGCTGGGCAACATTTAGCAACTCTTGAAGATCTTTCTCCAGCTTGCACTAACTGGGCGTTGTGTCTAGTCAACTCATCTGCTTTCTGGAAGATTGGGAACCTCTGTGACCTCAGGGTTTTCTGTTCGAAGGGATTCTGAAACGGACGAGCTAGGGCCCTCATTTGCAAGGTGCTGCCCCCCTCCACCAAGAGAACTGGGAAAAGAGGTGGTTGGTGTCGTTCAGCAGGTCCTATGATCATTCTGGCCCAGTAGGGTCAGTAATGGCATTGGAAGGGAGAGGTTTCTGACTTTTGGTGAGCATAATCGTTGTAGTGCAGTTAGGGGTCTTCCACTGGCTTTCTGTGTTTGGAGAATAAGGTTCCTTCTGCCTCCTGCTTAGGATTTTGTAAGGTGATTTAGACTGCCACCTGGGTGGACCGTTGGGCTGCAGAATTCCTAACAGCCTAAAAGGTCATAACCACCAGGAAGGTGAGGGTGTCCCAGTATATAGGCAGAAAACCAAGACAGGGAGTTAGACATTAGGCTAGAAAAGAGTTGACACAGAGGAGGGTCAGGGACCAGAAGCGGTGGGCAGAGTTAGATCCCAGACCTGCAAGCAAAGGGCGGCAAGAAAGAAGCCAATTCTTGCTCCCTGAAGTAGCATACATGAAGGAAAAGACCGGGTGTCAAGAGAAAAGCCAAGATCCTGGGGGTGCTCAAGGTCAGAGAGACTCTGGAGATGACGGTGACTTGGGGGTGAACTCACAAACTCTCCTGTTGCCTTTGGTTCTGAACGGGGTTTGTAGCAGAGCCAATCATTTCTTCAGCCCTTGTTAAGCACCTGTGATATGTTAAGACTTGTGCTAGGGACCGTGGGGTTCAGAGGTGACAGGCATTGTTCTCAAGGAATTGAGAGTTTGGTAGGGCAGAAATCAATGATAAACCAATGACAATATAGTATATTAAGTACAAAAAGAGCACAGTGTCATACACTGTTGTAGTAGCTAAGAGCTCAGGCTCTGTTTTCAACAGATCTGAATTTAGATCCTGACTCTCCGGTTATTGGTTGTGTGATCCTGAGAAACTCACTAAGCTTCTTCAAACATCAGTATCCTTTCTTGTAAATGGGAATAGTAATAGGACCACTTACCCACTTTATAAGAGTCTTATGAGAATCAAGTTATATCATACATGCCTGGCACCAAAACAATTCCCAATAACATTGACTATTATTTATAATAATAGTTCTTCTTATTATAATTATCTGGGGGAAGGTGATGTCAAGAAATGTTTCTAGGAAAAAGTGGCATTTGAGCTGAATATTGAAAAATAAAGAAGGGTGGCTGGGTCTGGGAGGATGCTAATGAATTGCTTTTAGTTAAAAAAAATTTTTTTTTTTTAATGTTTATTCACTTTTTTGAAAGAGAGAGACAGAGCACAAGCAGGGTTGGGGCGGAGAGAGAGGGGGACACAGAATCTGAAGCAGGCTCCAGGCTCTGAGCTGTCAGCACAGAGCCTGATGCGGGGCTCGAACCCATGGGCTGTGAGATGGTGACCTGAGACAAAGTCAGATGCTCAACTGACTGAGCCACCCAGGTGCCCCTGCTTTTATTTTTTAATTATGCCCCGCCAGATTCCTCAGACAATTTTAGGTGGGATGATAAATTCAGCGTTAGCAGGAGTGTGAGATGTCTCTGAGCAACATGGGACATTTTGACCTCTTCATTCTAACCCTACTGTAATCCCAGATCTTATATATTTGCCCCCTTCATGATTGTAGCTCCATGAAATAAATGCAACTATTCATCTTTTTTTCTACTTGATTTTGAATATAACAGACAGAAATAACAAGAAATAAAATTGAGGTTGTTAAAATCGCACCCAGCAAAACTTTACTCTGATTGAAAAGATGCCTTTTCCATCTTCTTAACCCTTGATAGGAGGGGGGAGAAAAGGTCATGAAAGAGAACTTAAGTTTGGGTGAAATTATAATAGACACATTTTTGTATGGACAAACATAAACAAAATAAAATGATTAATAAATCAGATTTTTTTCAGGGCTCCTGGGTGGCTCAGTTGGTTGAGCCTCTGACTCTTGATCTCAGCTCAGGTCATGATCTCACAGTTTGTGAGTTTGAGACCCAAACTCTGTGCTGATAGCACGGAGCCTATTTGGGATTCTCTTTCTCCCTCTCTCTGCCCCTCGACCTCTCAAAATACATAAATAAACTTTAAATAAAAATCAGATTTTTGTTGTAAATGTAAAAGATCATTAATTCAAATTACTTCAAAGGAATTTCAATAAAATAAAATTTTAAGTAAAGCTTAGCTGCACTCTATGGGAAATTGATACAGAAATTAAATGATCATAGTCAAGTTTACTCCCAAGGATACCTTTTGGTTGAAAAGCCTTCCATACTGATATAATTCTTATGGACATATTTGCATTCATAAACATAGAATCAAAACATCAATGGATACAAAATAGGGTATTAAAATCTCTAGCACTTGTCTGTGACATCCAGGTGGGTGGATTGATGAAGCAGTTGGAACTCTGTCCATAGCTTGGGAAGTCAGGGTACCACTAAGGGATTTGAAGTCATCACCGTGTAAGTATTCATCTGTTTTCTTTTGTACCTTCCATAAAATAATCGTGCAGAGTAAGAACCTAATATATGCCTATCGAATGTTAGATTCTCTCTAGTCAGGCCTATAGGTCTTACGGAAAGAAGAATTACACCTGCATCGTTTTAATTTGGCATTTACTGAATACTTTACAAAAATCAATTCTTACAGCTTTGAGAGTAATCGGAGCAATCTTGAGGTTCACCAAGATTGGACGTCTGGAATATAATCACAAATCTTATCCCAAAATATACTTTTTCCAGTTCATAAGATGCAATATTTTTAGCCTGGCGTTCCTTATTCACTGAACATTTCCTCTGCTTTTAAACATTGTTTTCTTTCTTTTAAAATTTGCTTCTAGAGATACCCTCATTCTCCACTTGACAAGGTCATGGAAGATCTAGACGAAACATTATTTGAAGAATTTGAGAACTACTCCTATACCCTGGAATATTACTCCTCAGAGTCTGATTTGGAGGAGAAAGCCCACCTGGGAGTTGTTCACTGGATCTCCCTGGTGTTATACTGTGTAGCATTCATTTTGGGTATTCCAGGAAATGCCACTGTCATTTGGTTCACGGGGTTCAAGTGGAAGAAGACAGTCACCGCTCTCTGGTTCCTCAATCTGGCTATTGCGGATTTCATTTTTCTTCTCTTCCTACCTCTGTACATCTCCTACGTGGCCATGAATTTCCACTGGCCCTTTGGCATCTTGTTGTGCAAGGCCAATTCCTTCATTGCCCAGCTGAACATGTTTGCTAGTGTTTTTTTCCTGACGGTGATTAGTCTGGACCGCTATATCCACTTGGTCCATCCTGTCGTATCTCATCGGCACCGAACCCTAAAGAACTCCCTGATAGTTATTACATTCGTTTGGTTTTTGGCTTCTCTAATGGGTGGTCCTGCCCTATACTTCCGGGACACTCTGGAGTTCAATAACCACACTCTCTGCTATAACAATTTCCACGAGTATGATCCTGACCTTACTTTCGTGAGGCACCATGTTCTGACCTGGGTGAAATTTATTGTTGGGTACCTCTTCCCCTTGCTAGCAATGAGCATTTGCTACCTGTGTCTCATATTCAAGGTGAAGAAGCGAAGCATCCTGGTCTCCAGTAAGCATTTCTGGACCATCCTCGCTGTGGTCATGGCCTTTTTGATTTGTTGGACTCCTTATCACCTGTTTAGCATTTGGGAGCTTACAATCCACCACAGTAGCTATTTCCACCATGTGCTTCAGGCCGGCATCCCCCTCTCCACTGGCTTGGCATTCCTCAATAGTTGTTTGAACCCCATCCTCTACGTCCTAATTAGTAAGAAGTTCCAAACACGCTTTCGGGCCTCGGTTGCTGAGATACTAAAGCACACGCTGTGGGAAGTCAGCTGTTCTGGCACGGTGAGCGAACAGCTCAGGAACTCTGAGACCAAGAACCTGTGTCTCCTGGAAACAGCTCAGTGAGTTATCACTCTTCCACAAATCAGTACAAAGCTTATATGTGGGTCCCCTGACAAATGCTTTCAGGTTATTTGGTTCCAAGGTACAGAACTAACCGTATCTTTTTGTTGTTATTTTTAGTCAATTTATTGGCATTACATTTTTGTGTGGGTATAAACCTTAGGAAAGATCTTCATTTTTTTTTCCCCCCTGCAACTTAAATTATCTGTCATTTTTGTTAATTATACCATATTGGATTAGTCACCACTGGTGACACAGTATCAGCTATTTTTTTAAATCTTAGTAATTTGGAAGTCCTAAATCTTAATATTAAATATATGATTAACTCATTTCAAAAGTATTAAAATATATGCTTAAGCTCACTTCAGTTTTGCACAAGGAACCTATGAGACATGTCTTAAAAATGCAGCATGTAATTAATTTCTTTATTTCATGAAATCTACGTATATACATTTATAAATTAAAGTAATGGTTATAGTAGCTTAACACGTTGTGAACTGTTAATGCTTAGTGAAGTGTCCCAAAATCTAGTTGCTTAAAATCACAACTTATTACTATTATATCTCATAAATCTGAGTCCGAAATTCAAATAAGGCACAGAGAGATGGTTCATCTCTCCACTTCACAAGGTCTGGAGCTTTAGCTGGACCGGGATGACCCCAGTGGCCGAGGTTGGGAACAGCTTGTCTCCTCTGCCCTACGGTCTGTTCTTCCCTTCTTCTCTTCTCTTTTTTCTTCACAGCTTTTCCAGCATGGTACCTCGGGGTAGTCAGACTCCTTATATGGCACAGTTTAGGGCCCTAAGAAGCCAAGGTGGACATCTCTAGGCCTCTTAAAGGCTATGACCGACCCCTGATGCAGTACCACGCCCACTGTACTCTCTCGGTCCAAGTAGCCACCAGGTCAGTTCAGGTTCAAGGGGAGGTGACCCCACCTGTCAATGGGGATATGCTCCTATCCTTAATCCCTCATGGTATCAGTATAATTAACATTTTTGGAAAACTCTGGGTATGTGCAAGTATGCGTGACATTGCTGTAAACGTAAAACCCTGACATCTAGATAGTAGGTAGGCCAGCCCAATCTCAGAAAGATTTCAGAAAAAGAAAGCATGTGTGACATAGTGATATATTTCTACCTTCTATTCCTATAACTGTATTGATGTAGGCACCAGTACAAGACCAATGAAGTATACCTTTACGTCAGTGAGTGACCTCTTCATGGTGCAAATCTGTTGCATTTTAGACTGTAATGGTATTTTGCCTTCTATATTTATTCCTTTAGCAAACAGATGAGTGTCTAAGGGGTATACAGAGGCATGTGGCACTTAACAGTTTAGAAAGTCTAGAGATCAAACCTGCATGAAAACAATGCTAGAACAAGGTAGACAGTAATAAGTGCCAAAGAAAGCCAAGAAAAGTGTAGATTGTTCAGAGAGGAAAGAGCACCCAGTATAGAAGTGAACAAACATTGGGGTTGCTTGATTTTGGGGTTTCCTAAGGATCCTGTTCCTGTCCCTTGTCTCTGCTGGTATCCTTGTCTTTTATGAATACAAACTCTGCTACTCACTGCAATTTTTAAAAGCATTTGACTTTCCATAATTTCCGGATTTTATTTTGAAAATTGGGAGGAGGAAATGTATTATTTCTTGAGTCAGTATCCTTTTTTATTTCATCTCTCAGCTTTTGGAAATGCTAGTCTCAGATCTTTATTGGCTCTGTTCTTTACTGTTGGCCCAGACAACAATCAGATCTGGATTTGGAAATTATTCCCCAAAAATGTGTGGCATAGCTCAGCATATCCCAACCTGTCACTCCCAAATTTCATGGTTTCTGCCCTACCCAGTATGGAGGGAGGGTAGGAAGAAAGGTACTCATTGTCAGTGTCTGCCCCCTCTACCACGTCCACGAAAGGTTAAGAGATTCCACTTGCCCTCAAGGGATAGGCCTTGATTTCCCCGGATCAGGAGAAAAGCTGGAGGATCCAAGACAAAGAGAACTCTATAGGCTCATCCTTAGCTTGAGCAAATGGAGAGATTCTCAAGGCTGTTGGAGAAAGGAAGGGTGAGAAGCAGGGAGAGGATTAGGCAACCAAGGGCAGAAGGAGATGTTACTACCTGGTAAGCAGGAGCTTACCAAGGGCCTATAAAAATATTTGAGATCTTTGGGTGCCTGGGGGCTCAGTTTGTTAAGCATCCAAGTCTTGGTTTAGGCTCAGGTCAAGATCTCCCAGTTTGTGGGTTTGAGCCCTGCATCAGGACAGCGCAAGGCCTGCTTGGGATTTCTCTCTCTCTCTCTCTCAATAAATAAACTTCAAAAAAATCTGAGATCTTACAAAATAGTATTAGTTCTAGAATACAAAAAGAGAAACTTGAAAAGTCAAAATTAATGAATACTTAATTATACGTCTATAAAATACACCTTTATGTCAGCCAAATGAAATATTTTGTAATTATATAAAAACATATTTAATATGGGATTTCAATATGTTTCAGTGTTTGATATGAAAGGTAGGGCTTCCAAAAAAGAAAAATGCTTTAAAGAAGGTCTACAAAGGTCTTAGAGGGACACTGAATTCATTTTAGAATCTAATGAAAGTTTCAGGTCCTTTCCCTAGAAACATGCTTTTTTAAAAAAAGGTAATCTGGGGGCGCCTGGGTGGCGCAGTCGGTTAAGCGTCCGACTTCAGCCAGGTCACGATCTTCACGGAGTTCTGAGCCCTGGCGCGTAGGTCTCTGGCTGATGGCTCAGAGCATGAGCCTGTAGCCCCAGATCTCGATGCTCTCCTCTCTCTGCCCCCCCCGCTCATGCTCTGTCTCTCTCTGTCCCAAAAATAAAATAAACGTTAAAAAAAAAAAAAAAAAAAAGGTAATCTGGGGCACCTGGGTGGCTCAGTCGGTTAAGCGTCTGACTTTGGCTCAGGTCACGATCTCACAATTCGTGGGTTCAAGCCCCATGGGGGGCTCTGTGCTGACAGCTCAGAGCCTGGAGCCTGCTTCAGATTCTGTGTCGCCCTCTCTCTCTGCCCCTCCCCTGCTCACTCGTGCTCTCTTGTGCACTCTCTCTCAAAATAAATAAACATTAAGAAAATTTAAAAAAACAAAGATTCTCTACACCTAACATGGGGCTCGAACTCACAACCCTACAGTCAAGAGTCAAGTCGCATGTGAGACTGAACTAGCCAGGAGCCCTTCCCTAGAAACAGGCTTTTAAAATAGCCTTAGATCCCAGGCTAAAAACTCTAGTGTTAGAAGCTTTGATAATCGCTGATAGTAACAGGAATCTGCTAGGGGAGAGTAGCAAGCAGTACAAGTGCTTCCCAGCAGAAACAGGAGTTAATTTTTTATTCTCAGTTTGAGGGTACATCCAGGAAGTAGCATTGGGTCTGGGCCTGGAGACTCCAAGCCTCCTCCCTGGATAGTTGGAATCTGAATAGTGAGGCTTTCCCAGGGTCTAATGATTAGGAGCAGGATTGAGTGACTAAAAAGACAGAGTCTGGAGGAGAGGACAGGCACTGGAACAATTAGGGAAGGGAGTGAGGGAGTTCAGTGCCTAGCTGGCAGGACAGTAAAGAATCCAGGCTCTCGGGGAATGAGGCAGAGACCCATTGAGTCAGACCTGCCTCTTCAATGGATAGAAGCTGTTTGAAGAAGGCAAGTCCCAGGGCTTCCAGAAGTAGGGTATCTGGATTTGAAGTAAGGCCCTCACACATCCTAGCTCTGTGACCTTGTGGCTACATTAATTCAAATCTCTGGACCTGTTTCTCCCATCTCAAAATGGAGATAATAGTGGTACCTGCTACGTTGCTGTGGAAATTAAATGAGTTGATGCAGGTAAAGCACTTAGAAGGGTACTTCGCTCTATAAATAACTTGATCACTATTAGCTGGTATTAATCAATGAAATTCTTGGCACCTTCTGACATAGTAACTGCTTAGTAAATATTAGATCCTTTCCTCTTGGATGAACGTAAAAATCTCCTAGGAATCATAGGGGAGCTACACAGAGAATTTAAAAACAAGACAGTATAGAAGTTCTATAAAAGACTGCGTCCGGAGGCTGCAAAGGGTCAGAAGCAGAATAAAAGATTTCTTGAAAGAGGTATTTGAAGTGCATCTTGAAGAATGACTGCAATTTTTTAAAGTGCCGATGAGGAAAGAGGCATTTTCAGATAGGTGACACATTAAGGGCAGATGTACAGAGGTTGGAAAACAGGCTGTGATCAGAAAAAAAGAGAATAGTCCCATTTTGTAGGGACGGAGGGAGGATAGAAGTTTTACAAGTTGGTGTCAGGTTTGAATAGTATCTTACATATGGGCAGTTCTTTTGGGGATGAATTTGAGAAGTCCCTGGACATTTTCCTTTGATTTTTACTTTACTGAAGTTATGCAGGCCAGCGGCCTTCCAAACAACAGATGGTCATTTGGGACATTTCTGGAATGCAACTATTATTATCCATACAGAGCACGTAATGAGAGAATGTTTAGCAGTCTCAATATCCATTTTAAATGTACCCTTATGTGACTTTATCTTCTCACTCTCCTTAACTGAGGATATGCAGCAAGGGTCACATCAATGAAATAGGATTAAATTGTCTAAAAGCAGGGATGAAGAATGTTCTTCGTTCTATTTCCAACACGTTACCTGGCCAAGACCTGCGTTTCAGTTTCTCTCTCACTAGGTGAGTCGTCGGGCAAATCATTGCTCAGAGTTGTTTCCTCATCTAAAATGGTAGTAACAGCGTCTGCTTTATCTCATAGGCTTGCAAGGGGGTTCAAAATGGACAATGAAGGAGCTTCTGGGTATGCAGAAAGCGTGGTTGCCGTAGCCCCGACCAGCCAGGGTCACGATTGCATGTCCGTGAGTTCGAGTTCAGGCGTGTTGCGTCAGGCTCCTGGCTGATGGCTCAGAGCCTGAGACTGCTCGTTTCCGATTCTGTGTCCCCTCTCTGCCCCCCTCCCCCGCTCATGCTCGGTCTCTCTCTGTCCCAAAAATAAATAAATGTTG